CCCTCCCTCCCTGGGGTCTCCTCTCGAGGCCTCGGGTCCTCTCGCTCGTTCAATAAAGATGCCCAAACGGATTCACTGGTGGTTGATGTCTCCGGGTGAGTGGGAGGGAGACCAGGGGATAATTAATACAAGGGTGTGCTCTAAGGAAAATTGAGGAGAGCACAGTGCTCTAAACCTGTACAATCTAAGGTGCCCAGCATGTGATTTGCACGAAAAAACTGAGATTTTCTAGTCACCCAAGAGCCAAAGTTGGGTGCCAGGGGCCATCAGGTTTTGCTGGAGCTCAGCCCTGGAATAAGTTAGTATTGTTGAGTGCTTTCTTTTAACCAAAAGTAAATGAATTATTGGCCAGCATTTTAATTGATCATTTTTAAAATTTACTTGTAAAAATTATATTTCTAATGTTTTTGAGTGTTGTAGTATTCAGTACTGGCAACCAGCAAAAACATGTTACAAATAAATAAATAAACAAATAAAATGATCAAATAAAATTCTAGCCAACTCATTTCCTTTTGGTTAAAAAAGCATCCTAGGTTTTATTGACTGCAAGGCAATTTTCTCTTCCAAGTCAAATAACAATAAGGATAATTTATTTATCTTTAAACCAAAGATCATGCAATATCTTCATCAAATGGACTTACCTATTGTACCATAGAATCCCCGGGGTCCACATGAACCTACACCATAACGATGGAGGCTTTTGATGGCTGTGTCCTTAAAAAATGAAATAAGGATGGGAAAAAATAAGACGATTGTGAGGAACTTTAACTAGGGTCTCCACATTGCGCGCAAGTGTGATGTGCTTGATTACTTAGCTCGGCCATACTACCTCCTTCCCCAAAATAGGGAGTTTTAGCATTGACCACGGCGACGGCAGTGAAAACGTCCTTCTGAAAATGAATTAGCTTTTTTTAAAACTTTGTTGTATTTATTCCAATTCGCTGAAAATGTCTATGCTAGGCTAATTTCCCTGGAGTTGATTTCTTGGGGACCACACTCAAGTTTAAAAAGAGAAAGAAAATTTCGTCGTCGCTTGTTTACGTCCTCCATAAAACGTGAAACTAGACATTTTCACGTCGTAGTGGTGCAGTAACGGCAAAGAAATGTACAAAAAAGAGTGATGCACGAGCAAATTTGTTGTTTTGCTTGATAAACCTATTGTTGTTTTGACGTTCTTGTTGCCGTCACCGTCATCATTGCTAAAACTCCCTAATAACCCTTTAAGTCCTGACAGACTGACATCAATTTTCTCCTAACAATATGAAGGGATCATCAAGAGAATTTGGTAATAAGGATTAATGAAATGATCACCAAAGGGAAAATGTTTTGATCTTTTATTGAATTCTCTCTACTTATTCTTGAAGGAAATGTGAAGAGATCAGTTTGTAAGTGGATATTAATTTGGGGCTTATGACAAACAGAAAACTTTCTCTCTTTTTAGTATTTCATGATTACTAACAGTAGTAAAACCTTTCAGAATACCTCTATTTTTTCATTTCCTACAAAACCAAGAAAGTTGAATGTGGCAAAATTGAGACATTCTTTATCATCTATTTTTAGTGAGTGTCCAGGTTTCCTGAAGATTAAAAAAAGGACATCAGAAGTGATGTTAATGAGTCTTAATGATTTTAATGATGTAATAGGATCCGTTTTTTCTTACAGTAACGTTTAGTAAGGTAAGATTGCAGATTAATAGGTTTAACTAGTTTATGGATCTATCAATCCTGGAATCAATAATGTCGAGAGTTAAGTTCTCTCAAATGTCCATAATTTATTCTTGCCAGGGATTAAGCTGCTGTCCATATAACTGGGGTGTTTGCAATATATTTAGCAAGGTGTCTGCAAGGGGAGAGCTGACCGTAATGAGTTTCAATAACTTCAAAGTTATCGCTTAGTACAGGGTAACATCTGATACGGTCAAAATCATATCCAGGTTAAATTTTTTAACCTAGGTTGACTCACGAATTAGGGCTAGAAGACAAAAGAAATTGAGAATCAACCTAGGTTAAAAAATTTTAACCTGAATTTAATTTTGACCTGTAACATTTCCTTGAAGGCTAGGAATTGGCCCGAGATTGAAAGAAAAACATGAGTCACAATTGACAGTACAGCTTGCTTACCAGGTGATGCTTTGATTAGAGTTAACAGCTGGAAGGTTTTAGAAAGTACATTGAGGTTGTATCAGCTACATTGCCACAGAAGACTACAAGTTCTTGGGCAAAAATGTGGTCAAAAAAGTGGAACCCGGCTAATAGGACACCGAGGGGACATGTCATAGTGTCTGTGTTCTATCGGGTTCCACTGCAGTAAGAAAGCTACAAATTATTGCTCAAAGAGTATTTAAGTTGTAAATGAACATGGCATAAGCATACCCTTGAACAACTTTTGGAGTAATAGCATCTAAGTCATAGGTTGGTGTTACAGGAACTAATGGCTCTGGTTGCCATTCTTCAATTAACTCCTCCTCTTCCTAAAACAGCACAAAGATCGGAAAACTTGATCAGATTGCCATTCAATTCTATGAGGGGTGTTACTCCTCAAGCTTTATCTCCCNAGTGGAACCCGGCTAATAGGACACCGAGGGGACATGTCATAGTGTCTGTGTTCTATCGGGTTCCACTGCAGTAAGAAAGCTACAAATTATTGCTCAAAGAGTATTTAAGTTGTAAATGAACATGGCATAAGCATACCCTTGAACAACTTTTGGAGTAATAGCATCTAAGTCATAGGTTGGTGTTACAGGAACTAATGGCTCTGGTTGCCATTCTTCAATTAACTCCTCCTCTTCCTAAAACAGCACAAAGATCGGAAAACTTGATCAGATTGCCATTCAATTCTATGAGGGGTGTTACTCCTCAAGCTTTATCTCCCTAACCGTCAAACACAAGTGTTTGGCTGGAGAGACATTCCTCTCAGAATATTAAATAATACATGCAAACTCCCAGATTGGTGGTGCTAATGGTGAAGGGGTGATTGGATTTTCTGAGGCCCTGTTAGAGGCCGGGGGCTTGTTCGTTTGCATGGCTTATGTCAGATCTTTGCTTAAAGAACGAGGCATACACAGTGTGAAGTGTTCCTTCCCATGACTTATGTCGGATCTTTGATTAAAAAATGAAGCATACCCAGTGTGTATGGCGCTAGTTCCTTCACGTAACTTATGTCGGATCTTTGCTTGAAGAACGAAGCATACACAGTGTGTAGGGCGCTTGTTCCTACGCGTGGCTTATATTGGATCTTTACTTAAGGAACGAGGCATACCCAGTGCACAGGGCGCTTGTTCCCCTGCGTGGCCTATGTCGGATCTTTGCTTGAAGAACAAGGCATAAACAGTGTGTAGCACGCTTGTTCCTTCACTTTTTTTAGAAGCAGTTAATGTTGGACCTTTTTCAACATACCTATTTAGAAAGCTTTATAAAGAATCTTTTTAATACCTAGCTTTAAAAAGATTTGCGTGGTTTTTGCTGCATCACCTCCCTACCCCACAGTATTTTTTGCATGCTTCTAAGAAATTGCTTCCTGCCATCGTGATCAGCTTGCACATGGAGGAAAATCAATCAATGTATCGTTTGAAGAGTTCAAAGGAAAAGACACTTTCTTTGCATGTGAATTATTGAGGCAGAAACGCCTAGAAAAACTCTGAGATAATTGAAAGCTAGTACAAACTTCCTGTATTGTACAATCAATGTGACAATTCAACGGTTCTATGGTGAGAAAATACTGAGAACATGAGAAAATACTCATGTAAAGCATGTCAGTTGTTTGTTATCATTCACTATATTAAACATCTTCAAAAATAAGGAAGGTATTGTTAAAATTCAATTTTTATAGTTCTGTCATTGAAATTAACCAGATCAAAGTGATCTTTTTTGCAATAATCTAGCAGCAAGGAGCGATTGGCATAGCGTGAGTTTGATCAGGATATTACAGATTTCCCACAAATATGGTATTTGCAGCTGGAAAATGCAATTTTGGTGTTGTGCCTGGATCGTGTATTTGTACCCTATTTTTAAGCCCAGCTGTGGGTTTTTCTATGAACATCTGGCCCAACCATGGGGCATTTGCAGCTTTTCCAAAACAAAATGACAAATGCGCGACAAATGCCCCTCCGGGGGGGGGTGGATGGACACACTTGGAATTGACTCAGCCATAATCAACACAAGGCAAAAATGTGCCTCAGTTTCACCCATAACAGTTAAAACCGTCAAAGCTTGGGTTAAGGGGTTACAGATAATTTGTTAGAATATATTGATAAAGAAATAGTACTACATTTTAAAAGCTTTTGTTTTTAATGTCCCAGACAAACCTTTTCTGTGAGTTCAATTTTCTGTTCTCTGAATCTAAATGTCTTGCTGGTGATTAGCCTTATTATCCAAAGAACCAAAATAGCTTCAAAGAGGACGTGATAAAAAGGGACCTAACCGAAAGAATAAAGAAAACATTCAGCATATTACATAAGGCTTACGTTACCATTGTTGTGAAAACGAAGCTGCAAGTATTATTATCAAAGCTCAAAATAATCAAAATGGCACCGTCAGCAACTGACCTTTGTATAATATTCAAGGATCTCAATTCCTTTAGTAAGGTAAATCGTAAAATACGAAAGCTGACCAAGATAGTAGGGAGATTCTGTCGAAACTTCTGGTCCACATTGTTGCTGTTCAACCCGCGCCATTTTGGATTTATTTTGGATACGCCCAGACACGAAAAAGACTGGAGACTACGCCATGGGATACCCAAGTGAGGGGAAGTCCATGTGGATTATTTTTATTTATTTATCCAATTTTTTTCGTCATAAAATAAAGGTTAATGGAAAAATACTGTTTGTTAGTTTGTAAAATGTTTTTATTACATCAAATTCGAAGCGAAAGTGAAAAACTATAAAACAAGATGGAAGAAATTACAAATTGGTTGGGTATCCTGTACGCTTGGAGCGAGTACCCAGGCTTTCTCGTCATATTCTTGTAAAACCAGCACAAGCACGAAGCGTGTACCTTTCCAGCATGTCTTCAAGGCTTAGAGTGAATAACGGCGATTGGGTTTGCCCGGACAAAAGGTAAATTTCATTTATTATACTTCATTTATTACCATTCTTTTGTAATCTCGTTATTTTGGTGTTATACAGGTGCGGAAACGTCAATTTTGCGCGGCGCACGTCTTGTAATCGATGCGGGAGAGGTACGTGGATTTGATCACCCTGTTTTGCAGGTCTTTGATTTCTTTCGCCACTTTGTGTTTTTCGAGTGAGTCTATTAAATTCGGGCAGTAAAGTTGGTTAATATCACAGGAATATAATTTTTAGTTTCTAATTTATAGGGATTAATCGTTAATCATGGGACGTTTTGCCTGGGGTTTCTTCTAGTAATCTGATCTCCCGACTTTAAGCTTAAATCAATACCACCCGCTGTAGCACTGTAGTCTAGCTTATGTACTGACAAGAGCGGCTCTTGGTATTGAACATTAAAATGAACAAAGAATAATTTACGGATTTTTTTAATGAAATATATCAAAGTTAATTCGCACCTTTGCATATCGTTGATTTGAAATTAGCCATTTTTGCACTTCTTATTAAAACCTTTATACTACTACATGAGAAATTTCTGCAATTTGATTGGCTTAGAGCAGTGGTATTTCAGCTTAATTTGAAATACCTACATGTGAAAATTACAAACCTTTTGTGGGTAGTAGTATAAACAAATAATAGCATGATTTGTATGTGATATTTGGCATAAATACCACACGTGATATTTCAAAGTTGTCTCAAATTTCACTCGCCTATCGGCTCGTGAAATTGCGTACAACAATTTTGAAATATCTCTCGTGGTATTTATGCCAAATATCACTACAAATCATGTTATTACCTATACTAATATTTTTATTAAATGGGCAATTCCAGAAAATATCCATACCCAACCACGGACGGCTTCCATGTTTTATCCCCCCCTTGCCTTCGGAAATTCCAAAATGTGTTACCCCCCCATGCCCTCAGAATTCCATAATCGTGAACCCCCCCTCCCCTTCAGAATTTCCGTTTTTTTGGAAGTACATTTTCGACTTAGCAACGCCTATATGAACAAACAAACATGAATTTATGCCTCCTCAAGGCTGTGATCTAGCGGTGCCAGGCGACAAGCTTTACTCTAACCTACCGCTAGTAGCCACGCTGCGCAAACATCTTTTTAGGTCCGAATTTGGCTATAAAAATAAACACCACTAACGGCAATTTTACTCCTCTTTGTTTCCTTGTGCTGTTTTGACATTTACAAAGCAAAATAGCTCAAATTCAGACTGTTAAAATCTTTCGGCGGTCAAATATACCGTCGAGTCGTGTTGCGTCCTTTTATACGTCATGTAGTGTGCACGAAAAGTGTTCTAATCTGACAGGCGTTCCTTGGAAGCCAGAGACTGGTGCGAGTTTTTTCACTGTTCATCGGACGGGAGTAACAAGAAACTTGCAAGCAGTAAGATACATATTCAGTTTTTTTTTCATGTGACAAGAAATTTATCAAGGTCAATGTGAAACCCACGTTTTACTGTTCACTTCTATAAGTTTTGAGCGTAAACACGTGTCTGATCTATCGATGCTTGTCTTCTGCTTCCGCGGTCATACGTTCGTGGTTTATTTACGAACTACAAAAGTCCACAACAATACCCTTTTCAAGGAACTCACTCTACACTTTCTACTCCAGAAATCTCACCTGTGGAATTCCCCCATGCCTTCGGATTTCCAATCGTAAATACCCCCCATGCCCTCAGAATTCCATAATCGTGAACCCCCCCTCCCCTTCAGAAATCCTAAAAGCCGTCCGTGGTATGGTATGGATATTTTCTGGAATCGCCCAATGATATTATTAACGTTAAAATTGTCTTGGAAAAATTTGATTTCTCAAATATTTCATTCATATGGTTAAAAATTCTGTCTGGAGAATTTGTTGACAAAAAAAATTAATAAATAAAAAAGAGGCCTCTTTCAATCACAAACAAACAAACAATAGACAAACAAGCACCTCAGCTGAATTCTTCAGAAATTGTTCATGATTACACCCATCTTTATGGTAGGCAAGCTTAGAAAATCAAAACATTTTTTTCATTAATACAAAATGTAATAAAATAGCCATATTTTTTAACAGATAAGGCAAGCAAAGATTCAGTCAAGTTCACTGGTACACAAATAGGAAAGCAAGCTGCAGCAAAGAGTAAAGGATTGTTCAGTGCTGAAGACTGGATGTGTTCAAAGTGTGTATCTTGAAATTATAATGTAGTAATGTTTGTATGCACTTCATTCTTTGAGTCTTAAAGATCCTTATGGCTGTTATGTATAACAGTTTCAGTAGCATGAGGAGTGTCACAACTTTCCCCCTGGGGGGGTACTGCCGTATTTGGGCTATATAGATATGTGCCGCTGTGAAGGGTATGCTTTTCAAGCAGTTTACTCTAGGATAGGGTATATAAATTAGAGCATTTGGGTCTCGAATTGGGTATCATTTTTCAGGAAACTGATCAGTTGGTTGAAGATTTTAAGGTAAAAGGTTTTGTTTTAGCTAGACTGCTAGTGACCTCAGTAGTTTCTGGAAAACAGCCACTCTAGGATAGGGGGGATGTGGGAAGTTTACTCTAGTATAGGGTAGCAGAATTCAGCTGAACTAGCTCTGGTATAGGTTAAGGGTTCCAGGGTCCCAGCGGCAAATCTCCACCCAGAAATTCCTAAAGTACCCCCCCCCCCGGGAACTTTCCCTTTCCCCAGTTATTCAAAAGTTCAATAATGCCGCTATCCAGTACCCAGTAACACAGAGGCAACTAAGCCACCAGTTAAGTCTGTCTGCAGCCAGCTCTAAACTCCTTGTTCTGTCGTTCTGTGTCCCCCTGCCACCAGGATTAGAGTATGCACCATGGTTGGCTTGTTAAAGGTGCCTTTGTCGATTTGCCAGTCAGGTTAAAGGGAAATTCAAAAAACACTTGCATTAATCCATTGAGTCCGTTGGGGACCCCGAAAAATGATCTTGTGAGTGCTTTGCAGATGTGTTTAGTTACAAGTTTACTTGCCTGGATTCTTCCTCTTTCTTCCTCTGGAAGAAAATCTACTTCCCCTGGACAACTAGTGGGACTTTTTTCTTTTCAAGCTCTGTAGTTGTCACCAGTACCTATGTGAGTAGAGCGGGAGAAAGTAGGGCAAAGTTTGTTGTCCAAGGGAATAATGCGATGGCCTTTTTATTTGCAGATGTGGCAATGTAAACTGGGCACGCAGGTCTGATTGTAATATGTGTGGACAGCCCAAATATTCAAAAGTGGAATCCAGAACTGGTGAGGTTTCTAAAACTCTTTTAAAGTTTCTCTTAGGAAAAAGACTTGGTAACAGAAAACACAATTAGCTTGGAAAAGGCACTACACATAAACTTTTTGGTGGGTGTGTGCTGTCTAGACTTTGGAACCCTTCAACTATTATTGCACTTTGAAAGTTGCTGACTCTTTTCTCAGCCACCCAAAAGTAATTGTCAAAACAGTTTGTGTTGAAGTCAAAGATTTCTGGAGTGGGTGAAATGAGTTTCACCATATCTTCTTCTTCTTTATCATATCTTCGTTCTTGGTTTGTAGGTTATGGCGGTGGCTTTAATGAACGAGAAGGAGTTGAATATATTCAACGGCAAGATTCTGATGATGAGTTTGATGAGGTAAGCCTTGATTTGGGTAAAACTGTTTAAAGGTTTTCTTATAGGTGCTTGCAGAAATTAATGTTGTAGTCTCATGGCTAGGAATTTCCTAGAAACTGACAGTGTTTTTAATTGGGGAATGATTTTTCTAGTTCCTTTCTTTGTTGGGAGAGGTTATACAGTAATGTAAAAAAGGGCTAAAGCCACATTTGAATGTGATAACCTTTTTCCTAATGAATTTTTTATTGCTTTTAGGATAATTGATTCAATTGATTTACCTGTAAGGCGGAATTAGTTGTGATGAAATGGTACCAAATTCATTTACTTTAAACACACTTCTTGGGGAAGAACTTGAAAAGGCTAGACAAAGTTTTTGAAGATCCCTAGTTGGAAAAGTATACCATTTCAAGCTTGAAATGCTCAGTTACATAGTTATTTCTCTGCCTTTGAGCAATGTTTCTAACTGTTGGCATGAAAGACAAGGGTTTAGTAAAATGATTACTCAAATTTGCTAATTATTTTTGTTTGTGAATTATAGTTTGGAAGAAAAAAGAAAAAGAAACAAGGAGAGTCACAGCCAGTTCCACTGCAGGTATTGTAGTAAACCTTTAAATCCTAATATCAGCATGCATATTCTCCTTACTGTTCTCTGTACATTTCCAATGGTACTGGTGATGAGAATTTGTTGAACAAACCAGGTTTCATTTCCATTTTTCTCATGACCTTTAAGTTTGAATGAGGAGTGTCACTGTAAAAACAAAATATTGAACACCCCAGGGTGCAAAGAAAGTTGGTTTTACGGCTTGTCATTGCGGCAAGTTGTTGCTAGTATGTACTAGCCCAAGAATCTTTTAAGAAGCCCCCAAAAAATTTTTGATGAGCAGCATTGATTACAGTTCTTCTGTAATTTGAATTTCCCAAAAAACTTCACTTGCCCTTTGGGCAAGTTAAGAACGGGATTCACTCGCCTAATTGCAATTAAATCCACTAGCCCCGGGCTATCGGACACGACTTTCTTTGCACACTGCATACTTAGGGATAAATCTTGGAACTTTCTAGTGTAGTGGAACAAGCACCAAAATGGGGAGTGTTTCTATTTTACTTTTGTCACCAATTTCCTCAGGGCAGTTATTATTGGGCTGCCTGTAAGGGCAACACCCAATTAATAAATGAGAAGCAAATTCTTTTTAATTCAAAAAAGACAAAATGGCAGACAGAAATCCCAGAAGACTTTGCATGTCCCATTCCTCCTGTCAATGGGGCCGATTTTGTGGGGAGGGAATGGGTCATTTCACATCATCTGGTGAACAGATTTGGAAGTGAACTGGGAACGAACACAAATTAATTAGGAAAAGTTCCATGAGTGCTGAAAAGACAAGAATTTCTGTTATTTTAAAACCTTACTCGCAACATTTCATTATTAATCATAACTATAACAAAATTCTCAAATCTGATTGGATGTTAACTGTCCTGATTTCAACACTAATAGGACAGTATGCATCATGCCTAGTATGTAATTGGACATTAGGCACCATCATGCGTGTGCATTTAAATGGATTTCTTTTCACTGCATGCAAGAAAACTCTTGCTTGTGTTTTAATTTTCAAGAGCGTTAAAACATCACAAATTTTGTTATAGTTATGATTAATTGGTAATAGAACTTTCTTTTATCCAATTTTGTCTGTAATCTTACTCTTGATTAAACAATTATCACTCCTATGATTACAGACCAAATTGGACTCCACTCAGTCCTATTACCATTATAAATATTGGCTTGCAGTTTTTTAAGAACATGCACTGATTTCATTTACAGAAAGTGACAAATGCCCCTCCTGCAGTAGAAGAGGAAGATGATGATGATGATGATGATGATGAAGAAGGAGGTGACCTGTCAAAGTACAACCTTGATGATGAGGTATAATTCGACGATGTCATGATGTAATGTTCGTTATTTTTCTTTCCTCACTTTCTTGCTGATTTTCACTCCAGAAACTTTACAATAAGCCATTATTTTCCGAGTTCCAAAAACTCTCGCTTTCAAAATAAGGCTGTGAAAATGAGTTTTATTTGCATTAGGATTAAAAATCATTTCATTTTTAATGGTTTCGCTCTTTTTCTTGCTTTGAAACAGAGGCTCAATGCAACTCGGAAATATGATACTATTCCATAACTTTTGTTGAACTTTTGAATCTTCCCAGCACAGTCAACTCTCTCCAAGACGGACACCTTTGGGACTGGCACTAAGTGTCCGTCTTAGAGAGATGTCCGTCTTATAAAGAGTCAAATAAAGGGAATAAGCAAAGGCAGGGACCAACTCTAGGTGTCCGTTTTACAGAGGTATCCGTCTTATAGAGGTGTCTGTTAAGAGAGAGTCAACTGTAATCCCCTTTTAACTGTACTTTGAGTTAATTGTGGTGTTTTTAAACATCATAGGATGAAGATGATGAAGAAGATGGCGACTTGTCAAAGTACCAACTTGACGATGACTCAGACACTGAACCCAAGGATAAGGGCCGGTAAACTTCTTCCCCTGTCTGCCCTTCACCTCTCAGGTGGGGCCAGCCTCATAAGATCAAACTCTTTCACTACATGTGTTGTTTATCTCTTCGTTGCTATTTTTCCAGATTTCTACATGTCCATTTTGGGGTGCAATTTTGTGCTTGTTGCAAATTTTATTTTCCCTTGTTTTTGGGTATGGTAATGTTGTAATTCATTGTATCACATAGAAAAATAAAGTTTGCACCAAGGATAATTCTCTCTAAGCTGGACAACATTGTGAGCAGTTCGATTCAAACTGTCCAACGTAGAGATGTTTCCCTGTATAATATAGGAGGTAGTTGTAGTCAAGTACAGTCTGTTAACTTATCTGTCCAGTAGCTTTTAGCTTCAAACCAGTTTCTATTTCCAATAATGCCATCTCGTAGTAGTATGATTCATCAATCAGAGAGGTTATAAGATCTTTTAAAATGAATTTTCTTGAAGGTTTAACTTCTTGCTGCTTTCTCAGTGGGCCAAAGGAGGTGGTGATTTGTAGCTGGAGGGGCCGGGGTCACATTAATTTTTATGGACGGATTGACCATTATTGGCGGCGGAAGTGGGGGCAGTACTGATCACTCTTAGGGGTGGGAGGCAGGGTTTGGCTTGTGCATGCCTGATGCAGGCGTATTAAGTCTTGTGGTGTCCATTTTGCTAAAGTTGCAGTTTGTTTGTAGTCTCTAGTTCAATTCCTTTACTTTGCTATGTATTTTTGAGAGTTGGTCTTTGCACTTTTTTGAAACACCAGAAACTTGATTTTCAAGTTATTTATTGGTTCCCTTTTTCAGCAATTCCCGGTCGAGGTCAGGTTCCCCGCCCAGTAAGAAAAAACGACGCAGCGGCAGTAGTTCATCATCATCATCTTCATCAAGATCAAGAAGCCGCTCCTCTCGCTCACGCAGCCGGTCAAGGTCTCGTTCTAAGAGTTCCAGTTCTTCTTCCAGATCTAGATCAAAGTCTAAATCGCGATCCCGATCAAGTTCTCCCAAACCATCAGGTCCAGGGGAAAGAAGGTTTGGTTTTTTGGTTATGATGAGATGACCTTTTTTGTTTTAATTTCAGATGACAAGTACTCGGCAGTGGCATTTACGAAGAATTCTTCTCCTTAATTTTCCTACAATTTTTTTCTATACATATGAAGGATTTTCTGAATAATAGTACAGTAATAAAGTAATAATAATTTGTTTCATGCAAAAGTCCCCCTTCTTTGGAGATATTCTTCCAGGCTTCACTCATTATTTTTCAACTATTTAAGGTTGGTTTGGAAAGTAATATATCAAGCGTGAGACGCAGTGTTTCATCACCAAGTGAAACACTGGGAGAGAGAGTTAAAAATGTGATGTACAGCTGAGTATTTTTGACTTACTTCGATCAAAGTGTTTCATCTGGTGATAAGACACATTGTTTCAAATGCTTGATTTTACTTCTCAAACAAAATGATTTTAGAAGGAGAAATTAAGGATACAAAAGTGAGTAGGTTTTCATCTAATTTCCAAACCAGGGTGCAAAGCAAGTCAGTTTTACAGCCTGCTATTCGGGCAAGCTGTAGCTAGCATGTACCAGCCCACAAGTCATTTCAACTAGCCCCAAAACCTTTTTTGATTAGAAGGATTGATTACAATCCTTCTGTAATTTGAATTTCCCCAAAAAACAGCACTTGCCCGTTGGGCAAATTAAGAACAAAAATCACTAGCGCGATAACAAAATCTACTAGCCCAGTGCTATCACACAGGACTTTCTTTGCATGCTGCAAACACTCTGACATTAATTTCCTTTGTATTTTCTTTATGAATATTTTTTATTATTAATAAGTTTGAGAAGCTTGTGTTCAACAATGTTGCTATCTGTTTGGTTGGTCTTGATATACTCTGATTTTAATTGACAGAGTAAGTAACCCTGGGGTTTATCGGACCATTATTCAGTTGCATTTCGAAACCCTTGCCTATTCTAGGCTAGGCACCAAAAATCACTTTCTTAACCCAGATTAACTAAGTTAACAGGAATGCTAATGATTTTTGATAATAATGATCAATTTTTCCTGATGATATCATATTCTAGACCAAAATCCTCTGATTTCTCTACTCTATTGTGTACTAAACCACACCCTTTTTTGCCTTGCATACCTATAATTATACAATGGAACCTCGATATAACGAAGTGCCCAGGGACTGGCAAAATTTGTTCCCTATAAAGGGGTTTTCTTTATATCGAGGTACTTTTCCATATATTTTACTATTACTGGGGTAAACAAAATCGTTTGTTATACTGAAGACTTCATTATACAGAGGTTCGTTATATTGAGGTTCCACTGTAATAATAGTCCATAATTTATTACTATATGGTATTACACCATCATAAAAGCCTCATGATTGAAATGTTTTGCTACAGCTAGGTTTCATTTTTGGTCCAATGTATTTTTCTTTGGCAGAAGATCCCGCTCAAGGTCAAGGTCTCAATCTCAGTGAGGGTTAAACCAAACCAGCTGAAACTCTTGTAGGTAAAGTAAGTGAAGAAAGAGAAAGAAAGCAAGTGTTACAGGTGCAGACAAAAAACGTTTGCTCTGACATACAGCCCACTTGTGTTCAAGTCAATTAGGATTGTTTTAAGTGTAATGTCAAATTGAAGAGAGTTTTGTCCTGTGTCTGTTGCAGTGTAGGACTGGAAGGCCTTTGAATCAAAGGAGATACCCGTTGGTTTGTTTAAATAGCTTGAGCTTCAGTTCTTAGGTTTTTTATTATTTTTTCTGTCGGTAAACCTTTCACTCCTTAATAGTGACCAAACAAGAAATTCACACAAAGTTTATATTTCTTAAAAAATGCAAAAACGTTGATATTACCACAGGCCATTACAGATGGCTTGAGGTCAGGGATTTTAGCTCCTTTCTATGAGAATAGCTCCTAGCCACTTTCATATGAAGCAAAAGAAAAGTAGAACCAAAAGAACTCTTTAGTTTTTCTATTTCCAGCCAGATACTTTCTGATTCATTCACCTGGGATACTTACCATTTACACAAACCACCAGACCAAACGTGGTGGGAGAATGGTTCCCTACAATAGCCTGTGAGCAAACTCTCCAGGGCGGAGCGGGAAAAGGAAGGAGAGCTTGCATTTATGTCTCTTGAATTTGAATATCTGCATCAAAAAAGTTGATGCAAAATGCTGATTGGTGGAGATGATAACAACATCATTCCCCTTTGGCATGTGTTTTTCAACCTTTGTTTACATTTGTGCTCATTTCCGCTTTGCCTTTGCCCTGGAGAGCTTGCTCACAGGCTACCCCTACAAGAGGGAAACAGACTGACTGAGAAGAGCACAAACATTGTATCCCCGCCCCCCCTCACAGACCCACATTTTCTGAAGCTTTCCAAATGGAATGTCGTGATCCACTTGATTTTCCAACTGGAATGTCTGGTTATGCCATGTAAATGGTAAGTACCCCTGGCAACTTGAAAATTTAGTGACAACCATAGGATTTGGTCCTCAGATTTAAACGTTTCATGGACACATTTTCTTGCCATAACTTGGTCTAGGAGTGAAGAGGTTGAAATGATTTTGTTTGGTAGGAAAACAGGTTAATAAGAAAAGTACAAACACCGGGTGCCACATAATCAAGTGTATCATGACAAAAGTAGGTGATAGTAGGATACTACTGTGTGTTGAAAATTTTTTCCTTAGAACAGTAAGTTTACAAGTAGACGCTGCAGGTGTGGATCTAGGATAAATACTGACCGATTTGCTGAACAAGCATCAAAGTAGCCAGCTTCTATTTGTGCTCTGCTGGGTTATTTTTTGGATTTCAACTCCCTTGAGTCGGACCCCTT